TTCATTCAAATTTTAATTAATCTTGATATTTTATCAAGAAATTTTTTTTTTAATAAATAAATATTTAAAAATTTGAAATAAAAATAAAAAAACAATTTTTTATTAAATCTTAACGTAAATTTAAATTAAAATTCGTTATTCCAGCAGTAAGAAGAAAAATAGAGATTTTTGAATAAAATCAACCCAAAAAATATATAATTTAATAAGTATAATAGAATATAAAAAAAATCCCTTTAAATGAAAGGTCCAATGAAGCTTGTAAATATTTTAAAAAGTAGGAAAAAGATCGCCAGGTGTCTCAGCAGATGTTTTGGGTCCTTCAGGCACTCTGGCTCTAAACTAGGTAACAAACCCAGTATACAGTATCTAAATTCTCCCTCTTTACTTTCATTATCCTCATAGCTTGCACTGTTCCTTAAACCTTAAAACTCGGTATATACCTTGATAGAGGATAGAGTATCTGGCAGAATCATAAAGACTCGCTCGATCAGACCCCGAGATCGACTGCTTTCACAAAAATAAAAGACCGTATGGGGATCGGGTACCGTTGATTATTAGCTAGATGGTGGTAGAAAAACCCGATAAAAAATCCAACAATACAATAACGGCATGTCCAGAACAAATCTTATAATCGTGACAAATCGCTTGACTAAAAGTTAAAATAAATTAACAAAATGTGTTCACGTAAACATAAGCTTTTTGCCGGGGATTTTTTTTGTCAACTTTAGTACAAATATACTGTACACCGGAACAACTTTCTATGTGTTGATTTTTTTTATTAATATCATCCAACTCAACATAACAGTGAGTACCAAAACCGATGAAAGCTGATGGGTAAATGGCGGTTGGAAAGCCGAGAGGAAAGGCGTTAAATAGTTAATTACCAGGTTTAGAACGCGATTAGCTTTTTAGAGTTGTCATTTCTTATAATTATATAAAGTTTATATAGTATAGGTGTATCAGTATAAAAAATTTTTTACAAAGTTGATCGAAAAGTTGATCTGCTCGTACTTACCATCGCCAGTTAACAGCAAAAATGCAATGACAACGCAGCATGTTGTCTCCCAGTGGACCGCTAATTTCTCCGTTGATCCAGTGAAATCACGTCAGCCTTTTTGATCATCGTCGTTCATTTCTGGATTTAATTGCTTGTCTTCAGAACAGTTCTCAGCATCATACCATTACACAGTTTTACTCTATATAAGTACAGTTTTACTTCTTGCAAGTTCAACAATCAGCAATATTTTCATTTAAAAAATTCACTTTGATGCAAAACACATCTTCAAAGTCACGCTTGCTGCCTAGAACATTAAGATATAAAAAGTTGGATAATTTTTCAAGCCTTCACCATCAATCTCAGTTAATTTTTATCCCGAAATCCAGAAAAACCAGCTAAAATCAGTGCATACCTCCGATTCACGACTGATGATTAATGATTGCTGGTAAATGCAACAATTATTAGCCTATGCTGCATTACAAGACATTAAAGATGTATTCTTGAGATAAATAATGTAGCATTAGGCCTGGGACGACATCAGTCTGAGTCTAGAGTTCTGGAGTTCTGGAGTACGCTGGAAGATCCTCATGAGAGATCGATCCGAGATGAAAGCAGCTCAAGAGAGCTAAAAACAGTGATCAGGCATAGCAAATGAGGGACAGGAGGGATAAAGACAGATTAAAAGAGAGGATATGGTTATGGCATGGTAGATGAAGAGCCCTGGGGCCGTCACGGTGCTCTACACCACCCCCACGTGCATCCTATTCCAGTATTTCTACTTGAACAGCCTCAGTAAAGTGAGATACGCTTACACCTACTTATATGTACCAGTATTTTGATCCGTTAGATTCCACGGATACCAACAACCTCCTCCCACCCTTTCCTCCTACTCCTCCGGCCTTACTCTCACTCCTGTTGAGGAGGAATCAGAGAGTATCCACGTCTCACTCTGGTCCTCGGAAGAGGAAGGGGAAGGAGAAATGGAAGTTAAGATGATCCCTCGACTTGATTTCACGTAATTGGGATGCAATTATAAAATGGCCGGGCGCTCCCGGCGCTTTTACACCGTTCGCTTCGAAGAAAAACCACACGGAATATTATCCATCTCTCAAATTATATACATATATATCCTCCTCTTCCTTTTATTTTGTTTTATTATCTTGGCTCATTCTCCACTACCACGCTCGTTCTTCATTTTTAAATTTCATAAAAACACATTTTTAGGTACTTAGGCGTTTGGAAAATTTGCATACTCAATAATTTACAATCCAATCCTTTACTATAATTATACAGATCGAATAAATTTTTCGTTTTAAACCAATAATAGGCGAGATTTATTTTTTGATTACCTGGTTTTAATAATTTGCTGTAACCCTAAGCTAAACTTAGTTATCAATTATTCCAATGATAAGAATTACAAGTTGACTGGAAATATTTTTAACCTTGAGAATTCTAAATTGAAAATTCTAACAATCTTAATTTGATATATTACGGCTGATTTATTCAAAAAAAGAAACAGTACCTTTTTTGTACCTTGAGTGGTTTTTTTTTTTCAAAATTTTTATTAGTGTATTTTCTGCACAAAAAAAAATTGAAAATTAAAATTTATAAAAAATTGGAAAAATTCATGAAAATAAAGTTAGCCGACATCTAAAAATTTTTATGATTTATTTTATTAAAGAATTATTAAAAAAAAATTTTTTTATTAGTTAAAAACTTCAAAAATTGTAAGTGCAATTTTTTAGTTATAATTTAATAAATTGAGCAAAATAAAAAAATCAAAAATATCGGCTAATTTTATTATTATGAAAAATTTTAGTTTAAAAATTTAATTTTTGCAAACTTATGATAAAAAATGTCGTGAAAGGAAAAAATAAAGATTCTGATAACTTTTTTGCATTTAAAAGTTGGAAAAATTTTTGGCTTTCATGTTTTTGGATAAAATTTCTATATCATCTTTTTTTGATATATACTTTTTTTTAAAGTATCTAAAAAAATAGATCAATTTGATCAAAAAAAATTAATTTAACACGGACTAGCATGAGTTGACCCCATTTGTAAATAATTACCAAAGTAATTTTTAAAATTACATGCAAAACTATAAAAATTAATACTTAGAATTTTACTTTCTAAAAATTTTAATTTTTCAACTACCCTTGTATGTCCAACTAAAATTTTGTATTAATTTAAATTATAAAATTTTTTTTTTAAAATACAAATTTAATAAATATAATTTCCTGTATTTTAAAATAAGAATCAATTATTCAAAAAATCTTTGACACAATTAAATAGAATAATAAAACTAAATCAACAATGTATTGATGCCCGTGACTCGTAAACTGTATCTCCGTTAAAATTTTCCTCTTTTATTTTATTTCTTTATTATAATTGTTGTTATTATGACCATTATCCATAGAGAACATACAACTAGTCTCTTTATACTCAATATTAGCTATCTATATGTTTTATGTTTGAAACTTGGAGGGTCGAGGAACCTATCGATACAGAATCGATAGATAAGTCGGGTCGATGGGTCGCAAACACAGCTGTGCTTTACATCAGGTATCCACACACACACACACATACGTGGACATAGATGTGTATCACGCGGTACAGTACAAGGCGTTGTTACATTACCTGAGAGCTCCTCTCACAGGCTTTGTGTTTGGCTGTTATGTCGTATAACTAAACCAAACCAAACGAAACCGTTTCCTTGCTCATCGTCACACACCCGTACATGGATGGACAAAAGTATGAGTATTATTACAGTGTGTGTACTTATACTAGTCTGTTTGTATTTCTAATTGTGTGCCCAGCTTGCCACATTTCTGCGTATTTCACTATCTTTAGGTCTGGCCCACTCTTCATCACCTCCGTATCTTTGTTGTTTGTTCGGATTAACGGACTTTCTAAAAAAAGTACAAATATATAGATATAGAGCACAGAGTTTGTCACTGACGATTTAACAACGAATGCTTTTTATCAATATACGTATAATACACATTTACATAATATGTACATACGTGGATAAATGAATGAGCGGGCTGTCTATTAATAGTAAAATATTGATAACATATTGGTATATGTATATCTATTGATAATTGATAATCTTTTATGTTTAATCAGTCTATGGAGCATTTTAATGCTGATGAAATCATACGTCTATGCTAATACGGATTAACAATAACACTCATATTTATTTAGTGCAATCAAATTTACGATAAAAACTAAATTTTATGTTTAGATAATATTTGAAAATAAAAATCTTCAATATTTAACACTCGTAATTTTTTATTAAAAATCTTACGGGTGACCAATAAAAAGCTAAGAGATTTTTTTTACTTTAATTTGAACTAGCAACCTTGCAGTCACTATGTGACTGCCGTCACTTCTTAAATATAAATAAATAAAATTTTGCTTTATTACATAATTACTTTTGTTAAATTGCACTGTACTTTCTTAAATATTGACGTTTTTGATGATATAAGCTAATCCTGATGTTACACTCATCAAGAGCTTTCAAAAAAATTGATGTGGGTACTCAAATGAAAGGTCTCGATGAGTGTAACATCAGAATGAGCTTATATCTTCAAAAATGTCAATAGTTCACAAGATACAAGCTCATTTCTTAATTATATATCTAAAGATAGAGCATTTTCGAATGCAGCCTAAATATTTATCATAATAAATTTACTATCAGTAAGAATGTTTGAACTATAAAAATTTTTCTTGTTCTCTTAATAATATAGATAAAATTTAAAACAAAAAAGTCTAACAAAACTGTGTTTTTTCTTGTTTCAGGCACGACCTGGGGTTGCGACGGGGTAGCTCATAAATCTACCTTGGTCACCGAAGAAAAACCAGGACAATCATCGTCAACTTCATCTTCCTCACTAGAAGACTCATCATCATTAAAAATTTTGTACTCTCTGGCTGTTGAACTAAACGCAGCCGAATGCGCGGTTGGTGATGTGAGGCTGGAGTTCGCCTCACGCTTGGGGTGATGCCCTCCAGTGAGCCCCATCCCCCTCAGTACCACCTGCCGCACCACACGATTCCGCCGTCCCTCCAGCACTCGTCAACCTCCTCAGTCCTCGAGCAGCACCAGCAGCTCTACCAGCAACTAGTGGCGGCCCACCACCAGAGCCACCAAGCCCAACAGAGTTCTCAAAATCAGCAACACGGCGTTACTTTTCAAAATTCCGCGTTCCCGCACCCGAAACAGGAGATGAGCCCGGAGGAGGAGGGCGGCCGAGGCGCCGGGTCCCCTCCGGCGGCCGGGGCTGCGCTTCAGCAACCCCACCACCCGCGAACAGCCAGCCCGCCTTCCGGAACCGAGCCCTGCACTCGGGACGCGATCCCCACCCCCACACCCACCGCAGACACCACCAACTCTACCTCGACGGTACAACTAACCGGAACTGGGACCGCGACCTCCGGGTCCACCATGACACTCCAGTCCCAGTCGCAGGGGCCGAGTCCGAGCCCCAGCCCCACCGGCGGCGACGTCGAGAAGTTCGACGGCAAGATCGTCTACAACCCAGACGGCTCCGCTTACATTATCGAGGGCGAGAGTGAGCTCAGCGAGGACGAGGGATCTCTTCCTGACGGCTGCATCGTCGACGGCCGGGGGATTTCCGTTTCCCACTCCCTGGTCTTTCCGCAAATCGCGAGCGCCTTCTACGTCTCCAGGCTGTACGCCCACCAGGCCTACCAGCAGCAGCAGCAACAGCAGCAACAAAGGACCCAGTCCTCGCACAATCCTGACCTCCCGGTGATGCACAGTTACCGAGTAATCAGCTACAGAAGCGCGGAAGGGACCAAGCAGACGATACAAACGCCAGCCCCGCCTCCACCCTCAACTTCGGTTCCAGTGAAGCCGATCCTGATGTGCTTCATCTGCAAGCTGAGCTTCGGGTACGCCAAAAGCTTCGTGGCTCACGCCCAGGGCGAGCACCAGTTGACGATGACTGACGATGAAAGGCAGGTGCTTTCCCATGCCACCACTTCCGCGATTATCCAGGCAGTGGGAAGAGGAAAGCAGCCGGTGGTGAGCTTTCTTGAACCGGTCGCCAGCGCCCAGACCTCCGCAGTAACCTCCGCTTCGCAGACCACGCCGAGAATCAGCGCCATCGCAAGCAACAGCACCACCACCACCACCACCAGCAACAACGATAACATCGAACACGAAACGCAGACGACGACGAGCACACCTGCAAGCACACCAGGCATCCCCAGCAGTCCCCAGGCCCAGCAAAGGCCGTCTCCCAGCACCCCAACGACTCCCACGTCGCATTCCTCGCTGAACTTCAACCACCAGCAGTCCCACACGTGGACTGGAGGTCAGGTCAGCGCAGCTTCCTGGGCGAAAGCTCCCGACGCAATGCACTATACTTCTCCGCCTCCGCCACCACCTTCTTCGACCAAAGGCTCGCCTTCGTCTTACGCCGCTTTGACTCAGCAGCCGCCGAACTTTTTAACTGGTACGACGATTGGTGTGTGTCCTGAACACATGCAGGGCCGGCCCAGCGGCGTCGAGTGTCCCAAGTGCGAGCTTATCTTGGCGAGCAGCAGGCTTGCAGGTCCAGGTGGTCCTCTTGCGGGTATCCACAGCAGAAACTCCTGCAAGACTCTCAAGTGTCCCAAGTGCAATTGGCACTACAAGTACCAGGAGACTCTTGAGATCCACATGAAGGAAAAGCACCCTGAAAGCGAGACTTCCTGCATCTACTGCATCGCCGGTCAGCCTCACCCCAGGTTAGCACGCGGAGAAACCTACACCTGTGGGTACAAACCCTACAGGTGCGAAGTCTGTAATTATTCCACCACCACCAAGGGGAATCTGAGCATTCACATGCAGAGCGATAAGCATCTTAATAATATGCAGGAGCTCCAGCAAGGAGGCGGAGCTGTTGCAGCCGCTGCAGCCACTAGCAATCCTTCCTCGTCTCAGGACGCACCGATGCCCACGCGGAGTCCGCACCATCAGAACCACAGTCCCCATTTGAGCGGGCCTGCTACCACTCAAGGCAAGCCCAAGCCTACTTTCAGGTGCGACGTCTGTAATTATGAGACTAATGTTGCCCGGAATCTCAGGATACACATGACCAGTGAGAAACACACGCACAATATGTTGGTGCTGCAGCAGAATGTCAAGCACATGCAGACTCTCTCTGCGCTCCAGTCCCACCATCAGCAGCAGCAGCAACAGCAGCACCATCAGCAGCAGCAGCAGCAGCAACAACAACAGCAACAACAGCAACAGCAGCAGCAATTGGAGCAATTGCTGCATCTGGGAGGGCTTGACAAGCCCCAACATGCTGAAGCTGCGCTTGCAGACATGGCCTACAACCAGGCGCTGCTGATCCAGATGATGACTGGAGGACAACTGCCTCCTCAGCTTCCTCCCGAGCTTATGGGAGGCATGGCCAATATGTCTGCGATGGGGAACCTGGGAGGCGATGTTGGATTGTCTCCCGAGAGTATGGAACCTCCTCCAGAGACTGCCGACCCGGATCCTGCCCAGCTTTACCAGTGCTGCGTCTGCAATAACTTCAGCACGGATTCTCTGGAGGCCCTGGGGCACCATCTGGCCGTCGACAGGACCAGGACCAGGGAGGGGGAGATTCTGGCTCTGGTGTCCGGAAACTTTGTCTGCAAGCTCTGTAATTACAAGACTAACTTGAAGGCGAACTTCCAGCTGCACTGCAAGACGGATAAGCATCTCCAGCGGCTGCAGCACGTTAACCATGTCAAGGAGGGTGGGATCAGGAACGAGTGGAAGTTGAAGTACTTGGCCTCTCCCACCAGCACGGCCCAGTTGAGGTGTCATGCTTGTGATTATTACACAAACAGTGCGCATAAGTTGGCTCTTCATGCTTCTTCGCCAAGACATGAAGCTGCCGCGTTGCTGCTCAGACACCTTGTTGAAGCCAGTTCAGGGGTTCAGTCGATCGGCAAGATCTACCACTGCGCCTTGTGCGGGTTCAACGCGAGACATAGACTGCATTTACTCCAACATGTCAGGTCCTTCAAGCACTTGCATATGGAGCAGCTTCATCAGATGCACAGGAGGAATACTATTCAGAGCAACGATCCCCCGCATACCGATATTGGGGATGTTTTTCAAGTTGTTGCTGATCCTGATGCACCTGCCAATCAGCAAACTAGTCCCACTACTCCTACTACACCGAATCCCAACATTAATCATGGTAAGTTTGCGTTTTTTTTTTTTTTTTTAATACAAGTAAATATTCATTTTTTAATTTGAAAAAATCTGTGTGTATTGTCTAAATAGGTTTTAAAGTTTTGATTTAATTTTTACACTGAAAAAAGAAATTCTTGACTGGAGGAAAAATTTCTGTTTGTCTTCCTTAAAATTTTCTTGGTGCAAGAAGATTTTTTTTCTGTGTAGATTTTAGAGAAATTTAACTATTGCATTTGTTTTTTGTAACTTTGGCGGTATTTTTTTTTTATTAGATTTAAAATCATTGATTTGAATAGTACATCATTAACTTGGAAAACTAAACAGTTGTCGGAATTAGAGATGATTATTTTCTATAACGAATAGTTAATACAAAGATGCTTGAATTAGAAACAATAAAACGACAATTATGATGGTCAAATAGAACAAATAAATAGATGTTTATTGCAATACAAGGATGTCTATTAATTTTAATATGAAAATTCAAACTATTTGTCTTTTATTGTATCATTAAAACAAGGAAAAGCATTTATTTTTGTGGTAAAATTTTTAAATTAGCTTCTAAGCAGAGTTTAAAATTTTTTTTCATCATATTAATTAAAATTATATTATTAAATTTAAGGATCCAAAAATAAATTATATTTTTTAAAATTAATTTTGTATAAATAATAGAAATATTTACCTAGAAAATTTACATAAATTTCTTCGAAAATTGTAACAATAAATTCAGATTTATAAAAAAAATGGCCTATAATTATAAAAAAATGATTTGTATTCTTTGTCCGGTAACAAAGCACACGTGTTTCGTGGTTGACTTATAGAAAACAGAAACGAAATTACAAAATTCCCCGTGCAATTAACTCTTGACGGAGCGAGCTGACTATACATAAATATAATACAATAAAAAACTAATAACATATCGCGATTGTTATGATAAGTGCCACGTGGTAGAGTCGATACTCACCCGAAGACAGTCTTTCATTGAAGACTGTGCTCTTCTTATATTATATTTGTCGGCCATCTGACGTTATTGTGAATTGGAAATAATCAACGTGTGCGATTGGCGACAATAAGGGAATTAAAATTCATTATTACAAATAACAATAACACCACTGCTCCTCCTATTCTCATCGATTACATTCTGAGCAATTAATTCTGACTCGGTAAATAACGGTTATTAATTTTTTGTGCCCTTGTGTGCTCAATGATGGCATATGGCGCTGTCGTGTGCCATCATCATCCTCTTTCTTCTGATTACTACCGCAGTCTATTGTAATGTTTCCATAGAACACAAATGCTAAATAAAAAATATTAAATATAAAATATCCTTTTTGTATTTTTTACGCAAACGTCTATCGATATAAAAATAAATATAAATACAATTACAATAATAAAAATACGGAAATAAGGCCAGAGAATGAGAGCACGCGCTGTCTCTCGGGTCATTCCTCGGCAACTGATGTTTGTGTGGTTTTTTTGGACATTGTTTGTCTATACAAACCTTTTCTTTTTTTTTTTTTTAATTTTATTTTGAAAAAGCGTGCGCTAAAATTGAACTTTTGATTGATTTTTAATAATTTTTTTAATGAAATTTAAACAAGCTAGAGTAATAAAAAAATTTTTTTTAACGTTTTGTATAAAGTAAAAATATAATTACAAGGTTAAATTTATGTTGACTTAAAAAATTATTGAATTATAATATCCAAAATTTAATAAATTGTCTAAAATTTGATTTTTTATAAAAAAAAATATAAAATTAAAAAAAAAAAATTTGTCAATTTAAAAAATAAATTTTATATTGTAAAAAAGTAATATACAATTATCAAAAGATGTCTGTTAGTCTCAATAAGATACATCTGGTCGTTAATAAAGTCTTTATACATTTAAAATTTTTCTATCTATTTATATACTTTTTTTTTTTTCTAAAAAAAATATTTTCATTGTTTCTTTGTATTGTTTGCGTTCGATATCTTACAGCCCATTTCCTTTCATTACCAATATTTACATATTTATTTTCACAATCGCTTAGTACAGCTTTCTCTTGAATTAATAAAACGAAAAATAAAAAAGTAAAATGCCAGTTGCATCGATGTTCTTCGTATCGGTACATGCGTGTTATTTATTTATTAAAAATTTCATTTTATTGGAAACAAAACACCTGAGCGGCCGGACGAGGGCGTACCTAACGGTATTAATTTTATTGTATTTTTTGGAAATAGTACAACGAAATAATCCATTAATTTTTATTTTAAGTTATAAATTTAGAAATTTAGTTTTTAGTTTTTACTTTAAAATGTTTCGTTACGCTACCAGTATAACTTTAATGTCCTAGGGTTGTTCTAGTGCGGAGTGTTTAACAATACAATTGACGACCTCTCCTTCGAGATTTGAGATTTAAGTTTGTTTAATACCTGTATCTGCTCGAATGGGTCGGATGCGTCATCACCGGTGGGCACAGTACTTAGAAAAGGTTTAATGTCAAATAGCTGGAGGAGGGGAGGGGATTTACCTCTGAATTTTCTGAACTAGCTTTAATTTTTCCAGCACGTCAGTGTCCGAGCGACTTTGCTTAGTTACAGTCGCACCTTTGCTTTTAATTTTTTATTTTATTTTACTTTTATTTGACGAACGGGATAAGGTATTTCGGTGTTTAAAATGTTACTGTTTTATGATCAAATTATTTTTAGTTGTAATATTTAATTTTAATATAGTTTGTAGTTATATTAGATAAGTAGAAATATGAATGATGACGTGGTTAATGAGCCTAGGCAAAAAGGACCTTTATTACTTAAGTCTAGAATTAAAAAAAGGCCGATTAAAATGAGTGAGTTTCAAAATTTTTAAGTGAATTTTATTGATGTGAAATTTTTTTGAAAAACATTTTTAGCTAATTGTGAAAAAGTTTCAAATTTAATTTTTTTTTGGGAAATTATTTTAATTTAATTGTGAAAGTTTCAAATTTTTCAATTGAAAAAAAAAAATTAAATAAAATAGAAAAAAAAATTTCAAAGTGAAATTTTTAAAAATTGACAAAAATTTCAATGAAAAGTTAAAAAAAAAAAAATAAACTGATTTTAAAAAGTTCGATTTTAAGTTCAAAAATTGTGTTTAAGAAGTTAAATTATTCAAATAAAAATTTATATGTTAATAATTGATGTTATGTGATTGATAAAAAAATGCATACAAATTTAACAGGTGGCTTTTGGATAACAGTTCTTCAAAATATACAAATTTGTTTTTTTTTTTTATCATTTAATCAGCAACAAAAATTAAAATAAAATAATAAGTATTTTTAAATTTAAATAAAAATACATTTAAAGTGAATTTTTCATTAAAATTTATTTCAATTTAAAATTGTGGAGTTTTTAAAAATTTATATTAAATAATTAAAATTTTTTATTATAAATATTTCATCCCAAAGATTTTGTAGTAAAAATAAAACTTAAATATTAGTGTTGGTGATCTAATTCCTAAAGTTCAATACATTCCACAAAGATAATTTTTCCTTGAGAAAAAAAAAAACCCGAGTATTTATCTTAATCCATTGTTTACGCTGATTTTAAATTCCTAAAATAAACTAGAATTTTTCAAAAATTTTATCCTCTATCCATTCAAAGATTAGAAGTCACTTTATTTATTTTTCTCAATTTTAAATATTTAAATAAAATTTTTCTAATAAATCATAAATTATTAATAAAAATTTTTTGTCCGAAGTTCGACCAACGGAAGTGACTAATTTAAAAAAGAAAAAAAATAAATTTTATAATTAAAGTAAATTAACCGCAAAGAAAAATCAGTGACAATCATTATGATAATCAAAGTTAATTTGACTAGATAATTATAACAAGAAAAATAAATTCGATATTAAAAAAAAAAGATAGATAAAAAAGAAAATTGGATAAATGTATGTAAGTTTTATTTGTTAGAGTATTTATGAAGATTTGTTGCGAGTAAGCTAATCATAAATTACGATCTTAGCTGTCCGTGACTCCGTCATTAACGACACGACGCCCTGGAGCACTCGCAACATGTAGCGGTTATTGAAAAACTGCCGTTTATCCTCCACCGAGTAGAGTTAAGAGTAGAGAGCATAAATGTACTATATACTCCATTTTAATTTTATTTTATTTCGATATATATTTATACATTAGTTTGTTAGTTAGTTATTTTCATTTTTTAACGATCGCGTAAGTCTATTTAGAGTTTTTTTTACTCCGGTACGTCGCCTTTGCTTGTCATTAGCCGTTCGTGATTCTCGGCGTGAAAATTAACATTAAAACGGTCAAACGGATACCGGTTTTTAACAAACCCAGCCAACAGGATTATAAATAATTCGTGAGACTCGGGTTTATTCAATATTTATATCCATATCCATACCCATAGACAATACGCTGCAGATATTGTACACAGTGACTGTTGAAATTATTTTATACACTTAAATTTTCAAAGTATTCTAATGAAAATTAATTAAACTAAATCTTCTGTGTGTCTGTATTCAAAAAATAAATTTTTTTGAATAAAAAAAATTATTTTGAAGAATTTTAATGTCTTAAATTAAACAGAAAAATTTTTAATAAAAAAATTGTATTTAAAATTCTTCAAAATAGTTTTCTTTTAAATCACTTTAATTTTTTTTATCAGCGTATTCAGAGGATTCAATGTTTAATTAAATTAAAAATTAATAATTATAAAAAATGTCTTTCAAATTTATCTTAAAAATCTTTAAAAATAAAATTTTTTCTGTGAATTTTATTCTGAACTGATAAATAACTTAAATTGATTCAGAAAAAAATTTTTTTGAATAAAAAAAAATTATTTTGAAGAAATTTAATGTCTTAAATTAAGCAAAAGAATGTTTATTAAAATTCATCAAAATAATTTTCTTACTTAAAGATTTTTTCTCTTGATTAAATTTTCATTTTTTTATCCACTTAGAAGATAAAAGTTTAAAAAAATTAAGAATTAATAATAAAAAATATCCAAATTTTTGTTACAGAACGACAAGAAGGCAGTGAGTGCGACAGCGAAGTAAAACAAGAGCCAGACAACGACCATGACCCGGACCAAGATCCAGAAAACGAACCGGAGGAGGTGGTGTGTCCGTTGTGCACGTACCAACCGACCTCGAAAGAAGAGTTGAAGCAGCACTTGCAAATAGCGCATACGCAAGACTCTGACGAAAAAATGGAAGTGAAAGAGGAGCCGAGCCAAGACTTTATCTGTCCTCTGTGCCAGGACGGCTTCAAAGACCGTCCAGCTTTGGAGAAACACGTGATGCAAATCCACTCTGTAAACGCAGACGGTCTTGCCCGACTGCTTCTGCTGGTAGACCAGAGCCACTGGCTGAACAACAACCCAAGAAACACATCGACCCCCGCAATGACTCCCACATCTCCATCAACCGCCAAGCAGAACGTTCCATCCGAGGAAGAGAACGACCGAGCTCCAGAAGAAGTCGACGAGCTGACCCGCTGCAGCATTTGCGGGCGCTTGTGTCGTTCCTTGGAAGAACTCCAGCAGCACCACCGAGAATCTCACCCCGCTGCGACACCAGCTCTGGCAGTCAGCGAGAAACACGTCTACAAGTACCGGTGCGGACAATGCAGCCTGGCGTTCAAAACCCTGGACAAGCTGCAGCAGCACGCTCAGTACCACGCAATCAGAGATTCAACCAAGTGCGCTCTCTGCGGTCGTTCCTTTCGTTCCATTCAAGCTCTGCAGAAGCACATTGAAGCAGCTCACGGAGATTTGCAAGAAGACGCGATCAACCAGTACAAACAAAGTCTTCTGCAAGCTCACCCTCTTCTCCAGGCCATCACCGAGGAAGCCCTCAGGCGCCAGGTCAGTCTAGCAGAGGAGCAAAACGCCGAGGAAGAAACTCGCGGGAGTGTCAGCGGAGTCGGAAACGCCAGTGCTACCGGCGGAGATGAAGACGAGAGTGATGCCAGCGACTCGTCCTCCATGCACAAAGACCAGAGACTCATGGAGGACTACTTGAACAGCCAAGCGATGGCTGAAGACTCCTATCAGTCTAATGACGCAGGTCGCAAATTCAAGTGCCATCGTTGCAAAGTAGCATTTACCAGACAGAGCTACCTCACTGGACACAACAAGACTCTTCTTCATCGCAAGGGCGAGAAAATGACCTACCCAATGGAGAAGTACCTCGACCCCAACAGACCTTACAAGTGCGACGTCTGCAAGGAAAGCTTCACGCAGAAGAACATCTTGCTGGTTCACTACAACAGTGTCAGCCACTTACATAAATTGAAGCGCGCTGTCCAAGAACAGGGTAATAACAACACGATATCAGTTCCACCATCGAGTCCCACTGATACACCAGATTCTCAGGTTGATCAGGACAAAAAACCCTACAAGTGTAATATTTGCAAGGTTTCGTATACCCAAAGCAGTACTTTGGACATTCACATGCGAAGTGTGCTCCACCAAACGCGGACCAGCAAGATTCCTGATCTTGCTGCTAGTGGGCAGCTGGATTTAGCGAGGCCTTTGATTGAGCAGCCGACTTTGAGTCCTGAAAGTCCGCCCTATAATTCGAATAACAATTCTGGAAGTAATAATAGTAGTGTTATTTCTTGTGGAAGGTGTAATGCTTCGTTTGTCAGTCAAGATCAATTGGTGACACATCAGCAGCTTTATTGTATGTTCAGCAGTCCCTTGGCGCTGTTCCAGCAATTAGCGGCGACTCAGCAATTGGCTGAGAATGCGCAAAATGCCGCGGGGCAGCAAATTGCGCAGCAGGTCGCTCAGCAACAGCATCAGAATCAGGCTCAGGATATTCTTTCGCAGCCTAGGCACAAGACTTCGCAGATGTACAAGCATTTGTTGGAGAGTTTTGGGTTTGATTTGGTGATGCAGTTCAATGAGAACCATCAGAGAAGACAGAGAAAAGAGGAGGAGGCCGCTGCTGCGCTACAGGCTCAGCAGGAACAGCAGAAACAGGAGCAGCAGAAGCAGGCGCTAGCTGCCCAGCAACAGATGCAGCAGGTTAGTGCTCAGGAAAGGGATGAAGATGAGGATGGAGAAGAAGAAGCGATACCTGAATTGACTCGCAGCACTTGTCAGCATTGCAATAAAGAGTTTAGCAGTGTTTGGGTGTTGAAGGCACATTGTGAAGAAGTCCACAGAGATCTGGTGCCTAGAGAGTTTCTGGAGAAGTACGCGCAGCAGTTCAAGTGTGAATATGAGAAGAAGAGTGTTGTTGTTACTGCTGCGACGTCCTCGTCGACCAACACTGCACCTAGAAGTTCAACACCTGCCAATGCTAATCAGGGTCAACAATTGCCGCAGGATTTAAGCTCTGATAAAGAAAAGAAGGACAAAGAGAGGGAGAAAGATAAGGACAGGGAGGATAGAGAAAAGGACAAGGAGGAGAAAGAAAGAGGTAGAGGCACTCCTGAAGCTTCGTCAACGACTCCAGCGACTACACCTGCGCTGTCAAACACTCCGGTATCTAGTACTGATTCAACGGGACAGGCTAATGCGCACCATGGGGTTCAGCAGCATCCTCAGTTACAATTGTCTCAGCAACAGCTCAATGACATGCAAGCTGCAGCGTTTATGGCTGCTTCTCAACTTCAACATTTGCAACAGTATCCGCAATTGATGATGGGCATGATGGGATTACCGTTCAATCTAGCAGCTATGAATTTACAACCACCACTGGTACCCATGATGCTTCCTCCACCACCGTATGATGGCGCTGCGCCGCCCTATCCGGCGATTAATCCACAAGCTGATATTCTTGCCAAGCAGCATTTACTGCAGCAGCAGCAGCAACAACAAGCTGCGGTAAGTTCTAGTTTTTTTTATTCAATTTTTTGCTTGGAAAAAATTTTTGTTTTTGTGAAAAAGTTTTTTTTTTTTTATAAATGGAATTTTGATATTTTTTGCTGGAAATTTTTTTAATAATCCAATTTAATTTATTGGTTTTATTCAAAAAAAATCTATATTATTAAGAGAATAAAGTAAACTTTTAGCCAGAAGTTGTGCCTTTTCATGGTTTCATATCATTCTCACCAATTATATCTCGTGAACTATTGACATTTTTAAAGATATAAGTTCATCCTGATGTTACACTCATCAAGCCCTTTCATTTGAGTACCCACATCAATTTTTCATATATTTATATGTATATATGAAAAATATATCAAAAATGCATGTGGGTACTCAAATGAAAGCTCTTGATGAGTGTAACATCAGGATGACCTTATATCTTAAAAAAACATCAATAGCTAAAAATGTACAGTACAATTTAACAAAATTTATTATTTAATAAATCAAAATTTTATTTATTTATATTTCACAACTCACGGCAGTTACATAGTGACTGCAAAGTTGCTAGTTATAATGAAAGCTAAAAATATATTTATTTATATTTACAGGCAAACGCAGCATCTCAAAAGCGCGCCCGAACCCGGATAACCGACGACCAACTGAAGATCCTTCGAGCTCACTTCGACATAAACAACTCCCCCGGTGAAGAGCAAATAATGGAGATGGCTGCTCAGAGTGGGCTTTTACCAAAAGTAATTAAGCACTGGTTCCGTAACACGCTCTTCAAAGAGCGACAGCGCAACAAAGACAGCCCTTACAACTTCAACAACCCACCATGTACAACCTTAAACCTGGAAGAGTACGAAAAAACCGGAGAAGCCAAAGTAACACCCTTGAACTCAAGCGGAAACTCCGGAGCGAGTTCCTCTGACGATAAAAGCCCGAACAAGCAATCAGTATCACCACCAGCGATCTCTATTCCGTCTACCGCTACGTCAACTGCTACCTCAATAGCGCCTATCACCGAGATAAAGCAGGAGCCGATCAGCGAGCCGCTGCTCAGTCACCAACTGCACCAGCAATTGCAGGCTCAGCAACTGGACGAGTCCCATCATTCACCAGGGAGTTCCGGAGACCAGCAGTCAAGGCCTCACTCTCCAGCGCTCAGCATGAGCTCAGTGTTCTCCGGTCTCCACCACGACCTGTCCTCGCACATGCCTTCAACAACCAGCGCGTCAAGCGCCCCAATGCTCCCGCCAAAGTTAACGCCGCAGAATTTCGCAAGCCCAAACTCTGGGCTCGCCGGAACGATTCCGACCTCGATGGCTGGCGCCCTCTCTCTGACACCTCAGCGATCGATCAGTCCCGGGCGTAATCCCACGGATTTTTCCTTCAGCGGCAACAGCAACGGCAGCAATTCCTCAAGCAGTTCTGGAAAAAGAGCAAACCGTACTAGGTTCACCGATTACCAGATAAAAGTCCTCCAGGAGTTCTTTGAGAACAACGCCTACCCAAAGGACGACGACCTGGAGTACCTCAGCAAGCTCCTGGGTCTCAGTCCCCGAGTGATCGTCGTTTGGTTCCAAAACGCCCGACAGAAGGCCCGCAAGGTCTACGAAAACCAACCGGCAGCCGAACCAGTCACTCCAGGAGGAAACCGCGAGGTCGATGACGGTTCCGGGAGGTTCCAACGCACTCCTGGACTCAACTATCAGTGCAAAAAGTGTCTACTAGTGTTCCAACGATACTACGAACTGATCCGTCATCAAAAGACCCACTGCTTCAAAGAGGAAGATGCTAAAAGAAGTGCCCAGGCTCAAGCAGCCGCTGCTCAAGTTGCCGCTGTTCTAAGTTCCGAAGACAGTAATAGCAGTTCCACCACGACGACAAACGCCGTGCCAAACAACCCATCTAACGTTCCAGTGCTCACCGACCAGCTCCAACAGCCTCTGAACACTCCCACCCCGCCGCATCTGCAGCCGACTCCCTCGGTTCAAAGTCCGCAGAGTCAGCAACAGCAGAACCAGAACCAGAACCAAAACCAGCAGCCAAACCCCCAAGTAGAAGTCAAAGAGGAAAATTTTCAGTGCGACAAGTGTAATCTGATGTTCAGTCGGTTTGAACTTTGGCGCGAGCACCAGTTGGTACATATCATGAACCCATCGCTTTTTCCGGCCTCCTACGCGCCTGACTCAGCCTTCGGGATTCTTCAACAGCAAGCTCTGAACGCCACTTCCGGCTCTGATCTACAGCAGCATCCTCTGTTGGCGATGATGCAAGACCGGAAAAGGAAGTTTGACGACTATGATGACAGTATTGTGGGAAATGAGAGCCGCAGCAACTCTGAGCACAGTGAGCAGCCTAAAGACAAGCGGCTGAGAACGACCATCTTGCCGGAGCAGCTAGACTATCTTTATCAGAAGTACCAGATCGAGTCTAACCCCTCGAGGAAGATGCTGGAGACGATAGCCCGCGAGGTGAATCTCAAGAAACGCGTTGTACAAGTGTGGTTTCAAAACACTCGCGCTAGAGAACGCAAGGGACAGTTTCGCGCTCACAGCCAGGTCATCAACAAGCGGTGTCCCTTTTGTCCCGCGCTTTTCAAAGTAAAGTCCGCGCTTGAGTCCCATCTGAGCAGCAAGCACGCCGACCAGGTCGCGAGGGGCGAAGTTAACATCGACAACATTCCCGATGAAGAACTCTCGATGGACTCTGCTCCTTCGAATCCGAGCACTCCCAGCCTGATGCCGCCGCTTTTCTCGGCGTTTAACAACGAGCTCGACACCTCGATCATCAAGAGGCTCTACGAGGAGTCCATGAAGAGCTACATGAGCGAGCTCACCGCTCACACCTCCAATGGCCGCCCTGAAACTGCCGTCACCCAGGGAATGAGCAACAGCAACGCCAATACGGCCACCGGGGAGTCCCCTTTGGACCTGAGCAAGCCCGTCGACCTAAGCCGGTCCATGAAATTCAGTCTCACCGGGCTGAGTAGTCTCCTCGAGGAGCAACAGAATGTTCCTTCGCACTTTCGCGGTGGGAGTGACTGTGGACCTCTTACGGACTTGTCCGAGCGCAGCATTTGTGACGACGACAGCATGAGTGAAACTACTGAGTTTCTGGATGACGAAAGTGGGCCTCCCAGCCCGGCGTCCAGCACTCAAAGCTCGCGACACGGCAACGCTACGACACCTAGCGGAATTACCACTCCCACTGGTTTGCCTGGGAGTGGGGGAAATGCCAGTGGAGGAAATGGAACCGGAAGCAACTCTAACGCCGGCGGGCAATCTGGGGGAAAGCGGTACCGCACTCAAATGTCCGCGACTCAAGTTAAAGTAATGAAGTCACTGTTTTCGGACTACAAAACTCCGACGATGGCCGAGTGTGAGATGCTGGGACGCGAGATCGGGCTTCCAAAGCGTGTGGTCCAGGTGAGCTTCATTGGCGCTGCTACTGGTCAACAACGCATTTAATGTACAAATTAATTAATAATAATTAATATTAATATTAATATATTTAAAGTATTTCGAGCAAATGAATTAATATTTTAATATTTTGAGTTAGATTTTGAAATACACGGAAAGAACGAGATGACACGGGATATCATTCCAGATTGCACCTAGTGATATCTGTGGTGAAAAAAAATTTCTGATAATATTAAAAACAATATTTGACTATCCTAATATCTAAAATACATAGATAGATATGATAACGCTAAGTGGGCAGGCGCTAGAAAAAAAATGTTGGAGATATCACTGGGTATAATCCAAGATTGTATTGAGTATAATCCAAATTATATTATCCAAGTTATAAATTATAATCTATACTAGCTACTATTTGAAATTTTTTTTCACCACAGATATCACTGAGTGTAATCTGGAATGATATCCAGTGTCATCTTGTTCTTTCCGTGTAATTAAATAAATTAATTTATATTAAGCAAAACGAGATAGACATTATTGACTAACTTGAGGGAGTTTTAGGTATGGTTTCAGAACGCACGCGCAAAGGAGAAGAAAGCTCGCCTCGCGGCCGGCCTCCCGGCAGAGGGATCCACCGTCCAGCCGCACCGCGGCCCGACTGGCCCTGACGAGTGCAGACTATGTTCTGTCAGGTACTCACCCAAGTCACCACTGCAAGAGCACGTATTTTCAAAGCGCCACATCGAAGCCGTGAGGCTCGCTGTTGAAGATGGCTCTCTGGTCCCGCCCACTCCCGGCGCTCCGATCTCCCTCGGGAGCGTCGCGGCCTCCGGACAACACACCGCCAGCCAGAATCAGCAGACCAGCGAGGAGAGCATGATGTACGGAGCCCTGTTCCTCCATCCTACGGCGATGTTTCAGGGGCAGCAGCACCAGGCCACTACTACCGGGGCCAACACCGCTACCACCACCCCCGGTGAGTGTCTGGCTGACCTCTTAGACTCCTAAAAAATTTAATATTTATATTACATGCATATATATTCATTCGATTATTAATATTATTAATGAGTAAATAAATAGGTAGTTTATTATTATTATTATTATTATTATTATTGAGTGATTAATATTTAATATAAGATGATAATTATAATTATAATTGTCGCAGTCATCGCGTGCACGCCCAATGCTTTTTATTCAGCATTTTTATTTTAAATAATTTTATTTTTAATTTAAAAATTTTTTGACGCGATTTTTTGGTTAAAAAAAGTGTGCGCGCGGTTACTTGCATCCGCATTATTATGCACGTATAAAATATATATGAATCGTTATTATTCATTGTCTGATTATTATTATTATTTTGAAAAATGTATACTAATTACTACATTTATTTATTGGACCCGTGTGATAATCTAGTGGGTCCAATTTTTTGGTTAATAATTAGACTCGGCTCATTTATTATAATAATTATTATTATATATTACAACTATAGATAAATAATTGATGTATAACGAGTGATTTAATTATACGAGTGCTTAAGAGCAATAATTATAAAAATTACTTTAAAAATATATATATTTATCTTCTATATATATATATATATATATATATATGATTAAAAAAAAAATTCTTTTTTTTTTTGGAGTAATTGTATAAGTTTAATTATATGAATTATTAATAATTTGATAGAGTTTATAATAATTTATAAACTCCGATGGTCGCTGCCGATTTTAGAGCTTAGATAATTACGCAAGTTTATTAACTATCGCCTGTACAGTAAAGACTTTTAAGTAGGACTAGATAATTATGAATTTATTGATTAATTATTAATTAGCGATTTTTATTAACGCGGCTTTAGGCGACCGTGAAACTTTTTTTTTTAAATAAATTTATAAACAAATATATAAATATATAAATATATAAATATATATATATATATATATATATATATATATAAACATGAATATGAGTATGATTATGATTATGATTAATATGAATATATGAATATGAGTATAATTATTATTATTATTATTATTATTATATAGTATAGCGAATAAATAAATATAAAGAACTGGAGAACGGACTAGATTGCCTTTGTTTAATTTTATTATTAATTTTTTATTTTTTATTTTTAAGTAGCAAAAATATTTTTTTTTTCATCTCATCACTGTCACAATAACTCAAGTCATTCCAATGACTGTGTCATCTCTGCTGGTTTTTGTAGAGACCCTTTACACACATGGAATAAACGAGACACTGTAAATACCTCGTAACCTTCTCATTTGTATTTTTTATTATTTTAGTATTATTATTTTATTTTATTTTGTTTTATTAAACTTACATTAGTCAGTTCTTTATCTTAGATTCCTCCTCTTTCTCTCTCTCTCTCGGCGTTTATTTTTATGTATCAGGGTTACTTGAGAGCCGGGCCCATCGTCGCATTCGATTGGGCCGATAAAATCCCCACATAGGACACAGCACACATGAACACACCCCCCAGTGTGCACCAGTATGTGTGAATCGACTCCAGTCCGCCCACGGGGGTACGCGACCCTCGGTATTTAAATCCGCGATCCAAGAGAGAGAGAGAGAGAGAGAGCCAGCTCACTATAAATATGCGCACGCGTCTTTCTATCTAGTACTACCATTCTACAATCTTAAATCTAAAATCTACAATCAACAATCGACAATCTGTATTTTACATTACTGCATTACATTTTAATAAAATAATAATAACAAACTTATTGATTAATAAATAATACAATAAACATTATTTTTCCGCCATTACAATTTATTAGCACTCCCAATAGACTTTTTAATCATCATCATTATTCATTATTTTATTAGTTACATGTCTTGTGATTATTATTAACTCAAGTGCCTCATATTTTATTATTTTATTATTATCAGTCGACATTTATTCAATTTTTTAATGTAAAAATTTTTTTTTTCTTTTAAATCGCAAATAGGCAATTGAGAGTATACGGAAAAAAGAAAACTTGAAAAATTACAGTATATAATGCGACGTGGTGCTTCGTGATGGAAACTAGAAAAATTACAGTTTCAATTTGTAATTATTACAGATTTTATAAGAATTTTTACATTGTAGAATGTAATATTTATATTGAAAGCTTTGAAAATTAATATTCAAAGTTTGAATTTTAAAAAATTATGTTATTTTAAACTGTAATTTTTCTAGATTTGATTATGACGGGGCCGATTTTACATTTTACACTGAGAAAAAAAATTTTTTTGTCCGGAAAAAAATTTCTTGGCTCAAAAATCGTTTAAAATAAATTTTGGTTTTTTGACAAAATAATATCAATATCTATCATGATAATAAAATATTGGCATTAATTTTGATAGATTAACAAACGAATAGGTTCACTTGAATTAAACAAAAAATAATTCGATCAATTGTTGAGACAAGAAAATTTTCTCAAGCGTAATACTTTTTTTTCTCAGTGTATACTGTAAATATTACTGTTTTCTTTTTTCCGTTTATAAAGTTCAGATTTAATATAAAATTAATTAACAAGTTTGACATATTTTAAGACTATAAAGAAGTACAGATACATTTTTACAGACTTATTTTTGTCATCTCAGCACATTTGTGACAAAAAATACATTCATTATTATAAATGTTATGTATGTTGGTCCTATTACTCCTCTGTATATAGTTTATTATTATTATTATTATTATTATTATTAATTATTATTATTTTATATGGTTATTATTGTATTATTATTCAATATTGCTATTCTATTATTATTATTATTATTATTATTATTATTATTATTATTATTTTTTCCGTTCTAGTCTAAAATAAAGCTATACTATCGAACGATTAATTTTATTGGTTTTATTATTTTATTTAAATTTTATAAATTAAGTTCCTAGTTGATCCGTTCCTAATTCCTAATTCCTAATTAACGTAACGAGAAAAAATAAGAAAATTAGCATAGCAAGAGCAAAAGAGATTAAATAAATAACTGAATTGAAAATAGAATTATTGATATGTTGTATGATGATTGATAGATGATAGTTGTAATTGAGTGTTTATTGTTTGCATGTATGTCAATAACAATTGATACAATTGATTGATTTTTAAATAATTATCTATGTGATTAATTATTGAGAAATAAATTTTAATTAGTTGCAATGGTGTCTTGTTAAACTTTAAATACATATTTACTTCTTCTCCCTTTTATTTATTTTTTATTAAATTCAATAGATATTTAAATAATATAAGTCGCATGATTTCATACGAATTACGAGTATCAAGACATTTTCTTTTCTTCAGTTTATTATTTGGACCACGGTAGGTTATTTTATGTTTTTTTTTATTTATTTATTTTTTACACACTTCAAATATTTTTAATAAAAATTAAAAACAACTTTTTTTTCAATTATTATTAATAGGAAATTAATTTTAAAAAATTTTTCAAGTGTGGAATTTTTTTTGACTAAAGAAAAATAATTTTTATTAAGAGTTAAGAGTAAAGATAAAAAGCAGCAATAAACGTAAAAAGTGCAGTATAGTTTGTATTTATTGTAAAGTACGGGTGGCCGTAGAGGTGCACCGAGTACTAAACAACGATCTCTTATTTCAAGGATCGAGTATTTTAAAACCAAAAGTTATTTATTTAATATTTTCTCCGGGTTTTATTTATGAAACTAAAAAATGAGGGAGGATGATTCGCGAAGCATAGTACTACCATCATTACGCCAGTTTAATATTGTGCCGCTGGCCTTCGTGGAACTTGAGGATTGAGGATGGAACTCTACTCCGCTCAGCTCGTGTCTCTCTACTCTGTATCTGGTACTGGTACTTTTATCTTAGAGCTGTAATAACGTCGTGCAGCCACCGATTAACAACCACTGAGTTCCGCCTCCGGGATTCCTTATTCCTTCCACTCGGACTTTTACTCCCTCGCAATTAACCTGTACCTGTGCCTGTTGGGTAATTAACCGCAGTATTTTCTTTTTATGCTAGATATATACTGTACCGTTTTGCCTCCTACCAACGATGCAATTTAAGCTTGCTAATTTTTTTTATTTTTTACTAAAAAAAGAACTCGTATATAATTAATAAATTAAATTACTTAATTGTACCCGAAGTTTATTATTATAATTGAAATTTAAAAAATTATTTTTTTTAATCGTTCAATTTATTTTTTTCTTATAAAAAAAATTCCACTAATAATCAATTTTTTATTTAAAAATAATAAATTCAAATCATTTTTCTTTGAAATCCAAATAAAATTTATTTTGCATTTTTTTAAATAAAAAATCAAAATTTGTACTTGACAAATTTTGAATTTTCCAATTTTTAGCTTCAAATTTTGCCTAAAAATTAAGAAACAATAATATTAACATATATATTTATTTCTTTTTTGTATAAAAAAAATCTCCTAATTTTTTTTCAACTAACTTGAGTGAAAAATTCCAAATTAATTACAAATTAATTAATTAAATTTTATTTAAAAATCCAAAACAAAAATTTTATATTTCTTTCAAATGACAACTCATACTTTCTATAAATTTTAAATGAATTAATTAATGAGCTAAATTTGACACTCAATATTTTTATTATTTACTCAAAAAAAAAACCTCAATCATTTAAAATTAATTAGCTGAATTTTACTCAAAAAAAATTAATTAAATTTTCATTCAGCTTTTCACTTCTGGTTTCAAAATTTATAAAAAAAAAAATCTAAATTAATAATTCTCCAGATTAAACCCAAATTAAATTATCCTTTTCTATAAAATTCATAAATTCCAAGTCAACAAGTTGCACCGCGGCACGTGACCTTCTTCGAAGTTAAAACCCTTTCCCTCAAGAGAGCCTACTAAACTATACAACACATCCTAAGAATTCTCAAATGCAAATAAAACTCACATCGCACGCGAATCCTGTCCCTTGTCCCGCGGTTGCACTGTACTCAGTACTTAGCATAATTTGGAATCGCTGAAACCCTCGACAATATAATATAACACACATAACTGA